TTTTTTTTTTTTTCTTTTTAGTATTTCTTATACATACACCACATTTTCTTTAATCATTTTAATGGGCATATAGGCCACTTCCATAATTTAGCTTTTGAAAATTATGCTTCTGTAAACCTGGGTATGCATGTGTCATTATAATGTAACGATTTGAATCCATTCATGAAGATAATAAGAAAAAGTATACCTGGATCAAATGGAATTTCTGTTTTTAGTTTTTTGAAAAGTCCCACACTGAATTCAACAGTGATTATTCTATTTTACATTAGTGCCTGTAATGAGGAAGAGTTCCTTTTGTTACACACATACCAAGGATTTGTTGTTTTTAGAATCCTTGGTAGTAGTGATTCTTCCTGGAGTAAAATAGGGTCTCATTATTGTTTTAATTTGCATTTTTTAATTGTCAAAGATCCTGAACATTTTTATATATTTACTGGCCACTTGTAGTTCTTTCGAGAAATATCTACTGATTTTATTTGTCAATTTTTTTTTGGATATTTATAATATAATATAATATAATTTTTTGAGTTTTTCATATATTCTAGAACTGTGTTCCTTCAAATGAGGTAGGAAACTCTAACCTCAGATAGAGTTACCTCTCTAACTGAGAGGTAATTGGCAAATTTTCCCCATTCTTTAGGCTGTCTCTTCATGCTATTCATTCTTTTCTTTGCTGTGCAGGATCTTTTTCACTTGATATGATCCCATTTGTCAATTCTTAATATTGTATCTTGTGCAATTGGTCTTCTGTTCAGAAGTGTTTGCCCATGGTCTTCAATAGTTTTACCAATTATGCCTTCAAGGAGATTAAATGTTTGTATTTTCATATCTAAGTCATTGATAAATTTTGATTTCACTTTAGTATAAGGTGAGAGATATACATTTAGATTCATTCTTGTACATGTGGGTAACTAGTTTTCTTAGCAACATTTGTAAAATGGGCTATCTTTTATCTAGCATTTGTCATTGCCACCTTATCAAAAATCAGAAGGTCAAAGGTTCTTGGGATAGTATCTGCAGTTTCTATTTTATTTGTTTGCCAACATATCTGAGGGAGTGTTAGCATTATGCTGCTTTTTTTACTATATCTTTGTTTGTAACTTGAACGTCAGGATTGTAATGCTTTCTGCTGTACTCTTGTTGCTCAGGATTGCGTTAGCCATTCTAGGTCTCTTATGATTCCACATAAATTTTAGAATTTTTTTCTAGTTCTTTGAAAAATGTTATTTGTATTTTGATTGGAATCACATTGCTTGTGTATGTCATTTTTGGTAATGCGACCATTTCAACAATACTGGTGCTGCCTATTGAGAACAGAGTATATATTTCCATTTACTGAAGTCCTCTTCTATCACTTTCTTGATGGTGGTATACTTTCCATTATACTGACCTTTATTTCTTTGGTTAGATTGATGTTTAGTTACTTTTTAAAGCTATTGTGAATGACATTGATTTCCACATTTCTTTCTGGGTGGGTTCACTGTTGATGTGCAACAGCACAATGTTATTTTTGTGTGCTGATCTTGTGTCCTAATACTTTACTGAATTTGTTTATTATTTATAAGAATATCTTAGTAGAGTATTTTGTGTAAGTGATCATGTCATCTGCAAAAAAAGGATAGATTGACTTCTTCCTTTACTATTTGCATTTCTTTTATTCCTCTCTCTTGCTTAACTACGCTGGCTAAAATTTCAAGTGCTATATTCTACAAGAGTTGTGAAACTTTTGCCTTGCTTCTGATTTTTCAGAAAATCGTTTTAGTTTTTCCCATTTAATAAGATGTTCACAATGGATTTGTTGTAAAATGGAATTTGGATTTTGTCAGAAGCCTTTTCTTTATATGTTGAGACGATCGTGTGATTCTAGTCCATATTTCTATTTATGTAGTTTATTGCATTTATGGTTTTACCTATGTTGAACCATCCTTTCATTCCTGGATTAAAGCTGATTTAATCATGGGTATGATGTTAATGGTTTGTTGCATTCTGTTTGCATGTATCTCATTGAAGCTATTTGCATTTTTGTTCATTAAGGAAGTTGGCTTGTAGTTTTCTTTCTTTGGTTGAGTCCTTTTTCTGTTTGCATGTGGGGAATGCTGGATTCCAGGAATGAGTTTGGTACTGTTCCTTCCCTTTCAGTTTCATGAAAGAGTTTGGTGTGAGCTGGTGTTAGTTTGTAGAGTTCGGTGTTAGTACTGGTGTTAGCTCTGTCCTAAAGTTCTGGTAAAATTTAATGGTGAATCTACCTGGTCCTTACTTGATAGAGTTTTCATTACTGCCTCTAGTTGATTGCCTGTTATTGATTTCTTCAGGGCCTTTATATCTTTCCATTCAGTTTTGTCAATTCATATTTATCTAGGAATTTATCACTGACATCAGCCACAGAAATGTCTCTAGCATTGAACTTGTGATGTATACATATTTTATGTTGACTTAAGAGTAAGAATTGAGATGGAGACTGATGAAAATCCTATATGTCTGACCATATACCCTTTTATTGGCTCCCTATCAACTATAGGACAAAATCCAAGATTAAAAATGACTGAATAAGGGTTCTATAATGAAGTTTCTTCTGTGGATGTAGACTTAAAATTCTTTCCCTGGGCTCTTTCTCTTCAGGCTCCACCAACATTAATTACCTGGTAGCCATTAACTCATTATGTATTTTTATCATAATGTTTGCTTTTCTTGATATTCCTGATATTTCCTATATTTCTTGGTTTTTGGTGTGATCTCATACTCTTTATTCAAAATCCTCTATAGAAATCATAATTTCCAGGAGGCTCCTTGTGAATGGTTCTCTCTCCCAGCTCCATCCATCCATCCAACCACCCATCCATTTGTTCATTACGGAGGAAATATGTCCGGAATATTAAGTATGGGTCAGATTCTGTTAAATCCTGAGAACAACATGATAAATTAAACTGAGCATCATGGCCTTCATCAATGTTGGCCTAATGTTTATCAGTTCAAAACACACATGCCCACACATCATAAGCACATAAAATAATTGATTACCAACTAAATAAGCCTTTGAGCTTAAAGAAATAATAACTGGGATATATAAAAAGGATTAGTCAAATTTCTTTAGTATAAGGTTGAGCTATAGGAAATCATGGTGTTTGAACTGCTTGTCTTATAAAATAGACAATTTTATGTAGTTCAGCCTAATATTTGCCTTCCTGAAACACTAATATTTAGGCTGGGACCTGTAGAATGAGGTGGAATTTACTTTTCTGTTTAAGCTTGGAACTTAGCATGTTCTACAAATCAAGAGAAGATTGGAGGGTATAGACCAGAGAAAATTGAGTGTCTAGATGAAAGTAAGAGAGAAAAGTGGTGCACATCATAAAATACCTTTATAGCGTTTTTCAAATTGGTTCTTATTATACACATTGAAGTGTTTTATGATCTGATTTGCTGAGAGCTATACTGGAAAGCAAGGGAGTTAGGGTGGAAATAGCTCCACCAGTTAATGAGTTGATGAGAAGAGAGAGTATATTGATGTGCTAGGTGTGCAGCATTTGGGAAAATAATGTCTTGATTTAAATGCTTATTATACAGTTTATTGATCCTGTTGCATTATGCAAGTTATACTCCAGTTTCTCTAAGGCTCATTTTCTCTATGCATGAAATAGAACTAATAATAGAGTGAGCATAGTAGGTTTTATGTTATAAACTTAATGAGAGGACACATTGCAATGCACTAAGCAATCCCTAACAAATAATAGCTCTTAATATATACTAAAGATTAATAGTCAATGTGGGAGATAATAGTGGTCCAGATTAAGTTGATGACAACAAATTTAGAGAGGATTTAATGTATATGAGACATATTTTGGGGAATTTGTAATGGATTACATGTGAGAACTGAGGAAAAAAATATTTCTCAAGCATTACTCTTAGGTTTCTGTCAAGAGGACTGGTGTGTATTTTGTTGCACTTTCCTGAGTTGGAGAATGTCTACCTGGTATGGACACTTCTCTTAATATACCATGTACAGAAGCAATGAATGAAAGCAAATGTTTAAGTATCATACAATGAAAAGACATTGCTATTTACATTTTTGATACCTATCAAAACTTTATAAACCATATAGAAAACTTTAATTTTATGTTGCTTTCATACCACAGTGTCTGCACTGTGCAAAAAAAAAACTTAAATATATATATTACTTGTTCCCAACTTATAAAATTTGTTAATATCTGTTATACCTTGTTATACCTTGTGATAGTGAACAATTAAGCTTATGTCTTTATTTTTGTCTTACCTTAAAGTGCATTCTAACCATTCCTTCTACTTCTCTCATAGAATAGAGCCTGCTTGGTTGACCAGCAGATGAAGTACTTAAGGAGAGTGTCTTCCTCTATTTTCTTTGGCCACTGAAAGTCTACTCTAAAAACTCTTAGGCACCATGGGAAAGAGGGATAATCGGGTGGCCTATATGAATCCTATAGCAATGGCCAGATGGAGAGGCCCAACTCAATCTTCAGGCCCAACTATACAAGATTACCTAAATAGACCAAGGCCTACATGGGAAGAAGTCAAGAAGCAAATAGAAAATAAAAAGAAAGGCTCTAAGGCATTAGCTGAATTTGAAGAAAAAATGAATGAAAACTGGAAGAAAGAGCTAGAGAAAAGCAGAGAGAAATTATTAAGTGGAAATGAAAGTTCATCTAAAAAAAGAGAAAAAGAGAAGAAGAAGAAGAAGAAATCTTGTCGGTCTTTATCATCTTCTTCAACAAGCTCTGATTCTTCAAGCAGTTCTTCAGATTCTGAGGATGAGGAAAAGAAACAAGGAAAAAGGAGAAAGAAAAAGAAGAATCGCTCATACAAATCACGAGACTGCTCTACATTAGAATCAGAATCAGAGAGCAAGGAATCTATAAGAAAGAAAAGGAAGTTGAAGAATGAAACAGAGAAAGAAAAGTGTATTAGAAGTCTCAGTAAAAAAAGAAAGAAGGCTTATCCTGAAGATCAACATTTATCATCTGAATCCTTATCCGAATCAGATTATGAAGAGGAGGTTCAAGTAAAAAAGAAGAGAAAGCATGAGGAGCAAGAAAAAGCTGTGGAGAAAGTAAAGAAGAAGAAGCCTCATAGGAAACATAGTAAGAAGAAGAAGAAAAAAGTCTGGTGCAAGTCACAAGTCCAGATATCATCAAGGGGAAAAAAACCCCAAGATTTCCACATTAAGAAAAGGAAAATCTGAAAGAAACATCAACTGTGAAAGTTAAGGCATATTTACCAAAATGCATGAGTTTTCCTGTGTTATAGAATTATTTCTGGACTTAGTTGCCAGTCAAATACCACTGTGCCAGAAAGGGCCATACTTGTTGCCTGAAAATTAAATACAGGATTTTGTTTGTATTTCTCTTTTCTTATGTGGTTATTCTTCTAGGAAGTAAAAAATTTGTTGTCACACTAGTGCTTAAAACATTTGGAATTAAAGTATAATCTTTTAGACTTTAATTTTGGTCAAAATATGTATCTTCAGTTAAATGTATGTAATTTGTACACATCTGTAAAATGTGAGCAGAAATATCCTGCCAACTATAAACTGACATTCTTGGAAGCAAGATCTGAACACTGGTGTCTCAAATACTTACTTTTATAGCTAAATTTCTTTTATTTTTTCTTCAATGAAATTTTGCTTACATGGGGAATGGTCTTTCAAAGGAAAGTGGTGGGGAGTGTTCGCTGCTCTGGCTAGCTTAATAGTGTGCCTTTGATCTTCACACACCTTCTTTTTCCTAGTACAGCTGCTTTTTTATTTTTTAGTCGACTTCTGAGATGTTGTATACTGCTTCTAATGAACAAGAAAGACAGCAGGTTACAATATGTGTAATCCCCCAAATCTATGACAGTTACCTCCACTTCAGCACTGTTCATTATACAGTACTGAATAATCTTTAGCACTAGAATATAACATGATTTTAATTAATTTTGATAACCTTTGGACGGGAATGGTTTTAAACAGCTCTGGTGTATTTTTGCTAATAAGGATTGTGAATTTTTTTGCATGTTTTATGTTGTTAAGTTTTGACAATGCAGCAATATTCTTTCTAAGTAACGATCCCTTTTTTATGATTTATGTTTGGATAGAAATTTCAAGTTTGTCATTTCTTAATCTTACCCAACTAATTTAATCACTGTATTTAATTACACACTTGCCAGAATATTTAGTGTGTAAGAAGGTTTTTTAAAAGTATTTTATCCCTTCATATTGAAGCTGCTTTACTGTAAGCAAGTTGAGTGACAGACCTCTAGTATGCTGTGTATCTTGTTAAACAGACTACTGCCAAAATCTTAGTAAGTATGCTGTTTGAAATTTTATTGTGTTAGGCATTAATATTGAATTAAATTAAGAGTTAATGTAGGTGACAATGACAAAATTTATCTTCCTGTGTTCATATGTTATTAAGATTTGGTGCCTTGTATCTGTTGCTGATTCATGTTTACCACTAATGTTAAAAATGCTTTCAAAATTATTTTTATTTTACATTTTTATATGAGTAACATCTATTACAGAAGATATATTAGTTGTTATGTCCTAAGTATAGAGTATTTTGGCATTAAAAATAGGCTCAGTAACTATTGTTTTTAAATAGCTGATTTCATCCCATATTCTGTGAATTGCAAGTAAAATTATACATATAGAAATCATCTGGTAGATATTGGCTCCCCAAATTTCTGAGGTGGCTATACCAGAATTTCACAGTAGGCTTCTTGGAGCATTATAGTAATGCCATAATTGATTAATTTGGATTTTCCTAATTTAGCTGTTCATTAAAAACAGATATATATGTATATGCTGGTAAAAATAAATACATTTAAAGGACATTTTTTATTCATATAGAGTTCTTGAAGTTTATTGTTCACTAAAAT